CACACAACCCCAAACAGGGCCGGGGACAAACCGCAACCGAGGTACATGCCCTTAGCAGGAACCGAACCCGGGCCTCTCTGGTCTGTGGGCCAACGCTCCAACCACTGAGCAAACTGCCAAGGGTGATTTCTGTATTAATTTTTGATACAATTATTTATCAACCAAGAATTTCCATAGAAAATTTCACCATTATCTCTTTATATTCTACCAAATGTGCATAATCATAAAATATAAGTGAAATACTGAAGCTTATTTTTAAATAAAAGTATAATATACAATACCAAATACCTTATCACCTACTGACATATGACATGCTTCTTACAATGACACTGAGCCTTTATTATAAAAATAAAGGAACACTTTTCTTTTTAAGGTTGAGTAATATTCCATCGTATGTGAATAGTACATTTTCTTTATCCATTGATCCATCAATGGACATTTAAGTTGTTTCCAAATCTTGGCTACTGTGAGTATAGCTGCAGTGAACATAGGCATGCAGATATGTCTTCAAGATCCTAATTTCAGTTCTTTTGGATAAATATCCATGTGTAAGATCCATGTGTGGATCATATAATAGTTCTATTTTTAATTTTTGAGGAACCTCCATACTGTTTCCATAGCAGCTGCACCATTTTATATTCCCACCAACAGCACGTATACGAGGGTTCTAATTTCTCTACATCCTTGCCAACATTTGTGATCTTTTTAAATATGTATCATAGCCATCTTAACAAGGGTAAGGTAATAATCTTATTGTGGTTTCTACTTGCATTTTCCTGATGAGAAGAGATATTGAGCATGTTTTCATGTACCTGTTGGCCTGGAAGACATTATGCTTAGTGGACTAAGTAATCCCAGAAGGATAAGAACTACATAAACTCACTGTATGATGTCGTAGTCCATTCAGGCTTCTCCAACAGAATAGCACAGACTGGGTAGTAATAAGGAACAGCAATTGGTTTCATCACAGTTCTGCAGGCTGGGGATTCCAAGGTCAAGGCACCGGCAGAGTCGGGGTCTGATGAGGACTCACTTCCTAGTTCACGGTCTTCTCACTGTGTCCTCACGTGGCAGAAGGGACAGCGGACTTTTCTGGGTCTTCTATTTTATTTCACAAGGGCCCTAATCCATTCATGAGTTTTCTGTCCTCATGACCTAATTACCTCCCAAAGGCCCCTCAGAAACCATCCTCCTGGGGATTAGATTTCAACATGTGAATACTGGAGGGGCCCCTAACATTCAGTGTGGCATGTGAGGCATCTAGACTAGTCAGACTTGTAGAAACAGAATAGAATGGTGGTTGCCAGGGACTGGGGCGAGGGAGAAAGGAAGAGCTGCTGTCCAGTGAGTACGAAATTTCGGTTACGCCAGATGAATAAATCCTAGAGATCTGTTCTACAACATTGTGCCTGCAGTTACCAATACTGTACTGTGCACTTAAAAATTTATTAAGAAGGATTAAATCTCACGTTAAGTATTCTTACAATAACAAAACAGAAACAAAGAATAAAGGAAACAAGATAGGACTCTATTACCCTGTGCATTCACAACAAAATTTTCTTCTAAGTGAGCTTCTCAAGTATTTAAATAAACTATTTGAACCTAGTCTATTCTTGTTATTTTTTTTCCAAAGGGGTAGGTGCTCATATTCTTTCCCAAGTTACTTAGAGTGGGACTCTGTATATTTATACTCTGCCTATTTTCAAAACAGATCTGAGAAGGCTTACAATAAAATAGATAATTACAGTAAAATAAAACCACATTAAAATGATAGTAAGAGGTATGATCATGGGAGGCAGACCCGAAATGAGGTCCCTAAGCACTCCATGATCTGTGGGTTCTTTTCTCTGTGCAGGAAAGAATTCAAGAGTCAGTCCGAGTGAAAACACAAGCCAGCTTTACTCAGTTTGAGAGAAAGGAAGAGGCTAAGCCCCAGGTTCCTGGGGACAGGATCAGGCGTTTAGCCCCCCGCTGCTCCCCGGGGTGCAAGTCTCACAGGGCACCCCTGGGAAAGAAGTGGAAGTACACGTCGGAGTGGGCGCGGGGCGAACTCACGAGTGAGCTGTGAACCGTGCTGCAGTCTGTTCTTGGGACTTTATGTGTTTCCAGGGGTGAGTTGTTTCTGAACTTTGTGGTGCCAAATTCCGTCTCCGCCTTCTGCTTGGCAGGTGTCTTGTTCCAAACATGGTCTGTTCCAGGGTGTCCTGGGGTGCTCGCCCCTCAGCCCCTCTTCTACTCGCGGTGTCTATTCTTACTATAATGATGGTGTCGTGAACTTCGGGGTCGTTTTCCGGTCAATTTGTCCTCCCTCTTGGATTGACCTGGCTTTAGCCAGTTCTTGTTGTTGACCTCTGTGACCACTGCAGGAGTTTCTGCCATAAACGATCTCCCTTTGATCAGGCGTGGAGATGGGGGCTCTGGTGAGAGGGCCTAGAGGCTTCTCTGTCTGTGGTGCCGGGCCCACCTCCTCACTTCGCTTGTCAGGAGCTTTCCCTAACTTGTTCCTCTCCTGCCTCAAAAAGGAAAAGATTCCAGAAAATCTACACTAAGGAGAATGTCTCCAACTAAGCATACAAGTTGGCTCTGAGCTTCTTGGCATCCAAATCAAAAGTGGGCTGCAGAACTCTCGTCGTGGGGGACGTGTACCAAGGCGTGCAGAGAGAGGACCTCTTCCCAAGTTTGAAATGCTATCAGGGATTTTCCTCACGGGTTATTTTATAAAAGACGTAACTAGATCAGGAACAGTGCTTTGGTTAGAATGCAGGAAAGGGGGCGTGTTCTGCCTATAACATATACATCGCCGGGTGCGCAGGGATAAAGTGGTGCCTCTGTGAAGACCTTTCTGTCTGACTTTCGGCTTTCTCCATGGTATCAACAACACTGGCTCCAAAGTATCCAAGCTCTTTCTCCTTATTCTTTCAAAAAAGGCCCTCTTTATTTACCTGCTCTCTGTCAGTGACCTGAGTACCAGGATTTCAGGGGTACTTAATAAAATTACAAACATTATCTAAACTTTTACATGACAGTGAGATTGGGGTGCTACATGGCAATCAGAACATGTAAATTAGCGCCCCAGTTCTGGCTCTTACTTGTCGTGTAACCTTGGTTGAGTTACTTCATCATTCTGCGCTTTCATTTCCTTGTTCTTTAAAACGAGAATAACAGTACATTTCTTCTTATTATAATTAAATGAGATAATTTATATGAAAGCACTTGTACCTGGTAAAGGCCTGTCAGTTATTATGATGTCGCCATCCCAGAAAGCTCTTCACGTTTGGACCAGAAGTCACTGCGTTCATTTTTCTCTCCACGTAATTGGAGGCCGTTTAGAAGCACACAGTGATGCACTTGCTTTATACTCACACATAGACCCTTCACCCTCTGGAAGTTTTCTAAAAATAACTTTTGTTTAAATTGGGCTTTTCTTCTTGAAGAAGTGACCAGTGAAATAGATTTTCTAGTTTATGTTTATAAATTAAAGAAAATTGTGTTTATGAATATAATAAATAAGGCAATTTTCCCTACTAATAAAAACGGGAACGTGTGTGATTACAGTATAATTGTTGTTCATCCTACAATCAAACTCGCCTCCAACATTTTGATAAAGTAGGCTATAAATTATTTAAAAAACGTTTATGCCAATAACTGGCTGACTGAGTACACAGTATGGAGCTCAGAGAGCCTGAAGGCCACAGGCCAGCTGTGCCGCTGTCTCAGTCATCTGGACCAAGGGAAATTCACAGCCTAGGCTTTAGTAACTGTGGAAGAAGAGAAAGCAGTGTCTGTGAGAGATAATGACCATCATCTCCTGATATTTAACCCTTTCTCGGTCACTTATTGCTTTGAGAGTCTCATGGAAACTACACGGCCTCTCAGGAAAAAGGCAAATACACTTAAAAATTTTTCATTTTCAATTCTTTCCATATATATATATATATATGGATGGATATGTGTGTGAACACATACATCCATCTGGAGGAAGGAAAAATGCAGGTAGGCAAAGAAAATGTAAGCATTAATGAAGAATTAGCAATTTCAAAAAGATTTTCTAAACTCCCTAGAGTACTCCAGATTTTGGGTTTCTGGAGTTGGATGTTTTCATACCCACAATTAGTGCTAAATATATCACCAAAGTCTTTCAGAGAAAGACACAGAGCCTCTGTTCCATTTGGGAAGACGCATTTTTACAGATGACTACTCAGTTGCCCCTATATCAATTAATTAATAGTTCATGTGGTCCTCCCTGGTCTGACATACACATTTATCATATATTTGATGTCCAATGATATTTCGTTTTTATTCACTTTCTGTTGTAGTCTCCTTATGTATCTGTGTCTTCTCACATCTCAGCACCACACTGTCTTTATTAGTTACACTTGATGATATGTCTTAATATCCATTTTCAGAGTGCATGTTTTCTTACCCAGTACATTCATGCTGGTGCTCTAATACTTTAAACTATTCTTTGAACACCACCCACCAGCACTCTGTTTCGTCAAGGTTCAGAGACGCCTAACTTATCCTTGTGGGACATGTGAATGGCCCCAGTCCGGCAGACCCACACGTCAGCCAGGGTTTTCTTTCTAGTTGACAGCTATGCTCCAACACTGGCTTCTTGGAGGCCTGCTGGGTGGGTGGAAGGTCCCTGCCCACTCCTAGGGCCCTTCAGACCAAATGGCTGGTCTTCACATGGCGCTGCATGGAGCGGAGGCATCCGCTGGAGACTCGAGCTGACCGTCATTGTGAGAGGAATCTTTTTGCGTATCATCGCACAAAGGTCTGTAGCGTTGAGCCTTTCTCCAGTCTTCTCAAAGCCCAACCAACTTCAAAGAAATGAACATATACTGTAACTTCTCCGTAATGACTGTAATTGACCTTCTGCTTGAATCTGAGCCACACTCAGACTCCCTACGGTTCTCTTTCTTTCTTTCTTTCTTTCTTTCTTTCTTTCTTTCTTTCTTTCTTTCTTTCTTTCTTTCATTTATTTATTTAACCAATTTTGAGCTCACGTCAAGTGTTGAAACCTTCATAATGACAAAGGTCAGTAATTAAACCTTTTCATCATTGCTCAGAACTGATCCGCCTTTCACACGCCCCGCCCCCAATCTCTTTCACCCATCTGCATGACCTCAGTTATCCACTGTCACCTTTACACTTTATTTATTTATTTATTGTTGAAAGTATTACAGATGTGCCCCTTTTTCGCTTCTTTCCTGCTCCTTTGCTCTAAAGCAAAATCTTGTCTGTTGGTTTTGTTTGTTTGCTTGTTTTTTGGCAGGCGGCAGGGGGAGGAGGGAAGGACAAGTGGCTTATGTCATTCTTCATTTTTACTTATATACAGTGATACCTCGGTTCTCGAACATAATTCGTTCCAGGAGGACGGTCGAGAACCAAATTGTTCGAGAACCGAAGCAATGAAACCCAATAGGAAATAATGGAAACTGGATTAATTCGTTCCAAGCCCCAGAAAATGCCTATTTACTGGCCTAATTTGTATATAATATGTAGAAAAACATAAGTCTCAACAAGAAATAAAAGTGTACAGTCTGTCTAAGGGTTAAATTCAGTGTAAAGCGTGACTCTCTCCACAAAGCGTGACTCTCTCTCTGCACTCACACTGATGACGCGAGCAAGGCGCGCTGGGCCGAATGAACGCCACTCGGCTCAACTCGGCTCATCTCGGAAGTTCGAGTTCCAAATATTTGTTCGGATTCCGAGACAAAAGTTTCTCGAATCTCCTGGTCGAATACCGATTTGGTCGAAATCCGAGGCGTTCGAGAACCGAGGTATCACTGTACCATCATTATTCCTTATACCTAGAAGCGTTGTTTCACCGTGAATTTCTACCTGCTGATTGTACTGTCAGAAAAATTGCACTAGATGCAGCTGAACAGTCAAGAAAGACTGATCCAAGACTATTGCCTAGAGAGAGTGAACTCATCTCCCCTGAAACAGAGGTGGGGAGAAACCAGTGTGAGCTAGTGGAAAAGTACAGTTATGGGGGAAGATTGGTCAATGTAATTAGACCCTCTGTGTTTACTAATTGATGCTTATTGAAATTAGATTCCTACCCTCCCACAGAGCCTTGCGAAACTGGGGCAAGATCTTCTTTGATTCCTACATTTCAAAGGGGTGGGTTCCTGATCCTTGGGAAAGACATCCCTGGATTGTAAAACCCGCAAGAGATTAGGAGATTTACATCTCAAAAGGGCAGAGAAAGAATTTACAATTGTAAATTTTCTAAAGTAAATGTTCTAAGAAAGGAGAGATCAGGAGCCTATAGTGAGGAAGAAAACTGTCTCAAATTTAGTCCAACTAAGGGGAACATTAACCCACAGTGAATCTATTCACGGGGGCATCATTCTGTAATTCATCCAGGAGCTCATTCTGCCTGTAAATACCAGATCTCTAGTGGGGATTCTCTTCCCTGGGCGACTCCTCTGATCACTCAGGACATTTCCACCTGGTGTCCTGTATTCGTCAACCAAGATGAGTTAGAGGAATCACTCTACCAAAGACAGCGGTTTCATGTGATTTTATGTTTATAGGTGTTTAAGTACAGGGGCCAGAAAATGCCTGCAAGGTGCAGACACTCGGGACCTTTCACATGCTGAGCGTTCTGCACCAGTTTCACAGGATTCTCACGGACTCTTAATAGAAGAGAAATAATTAATTAATTTTTAAGGAGGCACTTGATATGGGCCAGGCCCGGTTCTGAGCACCTTACTTATATTCATTTATGTATTCCTCACAAACCCTCTGTGAGGTGGTCTTTACCCCCACTTTCTAGACTAGAAAACCGAGGAACAGTGAACAAGGTCATTTATACGGCAGCAGAGGGATATGAAGCCAGTCTGGTTCCAGGACCCAAGATCTTAACTCCCTCGAACCTTCGAAGAGTTCTCCCAGGGGGCTGGGGGCAGTATTGTGTTGGGGATCGTTCAGGCCTGATAGAATAGGGGGGACTGCACAGCCTGGATGCAGCGGCCGCCTGGATTCTGAGCCCGTGGGCAGCAGGTCCGAGCGGCTCCAGAGGCTCCCGGCCTGAACACCGCTGGGGCAGCCACTTAGCAGAGAGGCTGCTAATAGTCTGTCCTATGAATCAGTAATCAGATATTTTCCATTTTATACTGTGAAAGAATTCAATAAAGGCACCCAGGGAAATTAAAATACGCCATATTACTTCATAATAATTCAGAGGACTTCGGGAGAAACGCCTGTCAAGGTCAGGGATAAATAGAAGAATCCTAGGGGAGGAAAGGTGAGAAAAAAAAATTTTTTTAAATCCAAAAAAGCAGAAGTTAGAAGGAAAGCATCCTTTTTTTCTGAGCAGCTTTGAAATGTTAATCTTGGCATCCTGGTATTGATAACGGCTTCTCGAGCAGGTGCTAGTCCGTCCCTTTACGTCTCTGGAGTCTGCGTGGCTGTGCCAGGGCAGGGTCCTGCGGGTTCCTTGTCCTTTCCCACGGAGCCCTCATCTTTGGACCCTTGTCTTATCTTTGGGATTGGGTGACAATACGAATAGAGGGAACATGCTAGATTGTTTTTTAATTGAAGATTCATTACTTATTAGATGAGGCACCTTGAGCAAGACACTTACCCACTCTGAACCTCGGTGTTCTCATCTGTATCGTAGGAACAACTCTTTTTAGAGTTGTTGTGAAGATTAGAGATAATGTATAAAGAAGTGTCATTTAGCCCTGGCCGGTGTGGCTCAGTTGGTTGGAGCACCATAAGGTTGCAGGTTCAATTCCAGGCCAGGGTGAGTACAGGAGCAACCAATCGATGTTTCTCGCCAATCTCTCCAATCTCTCTCTCTCTCCCTCTCTCTCTCTCTTTCTCTCTCTCTCTCCCTGACCCCCACCCCTTCCCCTATCTCTGAAATCAATAAGCATGTCCTCGGGTGAGGATTAAAACCAAAAGTTGCACTTACACAATAGTCACTCAACATTATGAATATTCTTATGCTTTAGCAAGCTTCCTCCAGTCATGTTCAGTGACGAGCTCAGAGCCAAGCAGGAAGAGATTTGATCCAGGGACCAGGTCTGTTCTGGGAGCTATAGAAACAACTGTCTGGACTTCGTGGTGGTAGGTGATGGACAAAAGGATCACATAGTCAAGGCAAGGAAAAGTCAGCATGAGGTGACAGTCAGTTTTGAGTCCAGCTTAAGGAAGTTGAGCATCTCAGGCGGAGACAGGCACATTCAGGTAGTCAGAATGAACAGGAGCCAGATTTTGAGACACAATTTCCAGAAGTATTGTGGCCCAGCTCTAAGGCAGGACTCCATTCCAGGGAGGAGGCCTAGAAACTCCAAAGCATCCAGATTTGAGGGAAATGCAGCAGATGAAAGAGTGAGTGTTCAGAGAACCCTCCACGGGACGCACTCATGCAGAGGAAGTCACGCAGAGCAGAGGACGGGAGCGGCAGGACCACGAAAGTGGACCAGCTAACATAATGTGTTCTGGCTGCTGTAACCGAGAGACCCCAAATCACAGTGGCTTTAATAAGATAAAATTTTACTTCTCTTGCACATTAGTCCGTGTCAGTGGTCTAAGGTGATATAGCAAAAATCGTCCAAACGCTCAGGGCTCGAGTTCTGTCTTAATGTTCTGCCACCTTTAACACGCAGCTTCCATCTTTTACCCAAGATGATGGCTCCAGCTTCCCCGTGGCATCCACATTCCAAACCGTGGCAGGGCAGGAGGATGCATCCTCATTGAAAGGGCACGACCCAGAGTCGCACACCTCGCATCTCCTCGCCAGAACTCGGTCACATGGCCACGCCACACCGCAGAGGGAGACAGATGTGGTCTTGGGCAGGACAGCCATAAACCCACTAAAAATTCTGTTACTATTAATTAAAATTATTAAACTGGTAGTCTATACCATGGATACCAAAAGTGAAGTCCAGTCGTGAAATCCCAACACCGAGATGCTGTGTCAAACCATACCTTCTTAGAGGAAGTAGGTCAGGCTTTGTCAGGTATTATCTTTTCTCTTGAATTTAAAAGAAACTTACCCGTCTCCACCAAGACTTTGGACTCCACCCAACCTCGTGCACTGTTGTTTCATATCTATTCTTTTAAGTGACAGCAATGCTTGTTTGTACAATACATACTTTATTGAAACTACAAAATCAACCAGCAAAGAAAGCTATAGATTTTTTAATGTATATTTTGACTTTCTAGTAAAAAAAAGTAAAACTGTTCACAAAGTCTTATCAAATGAAAACAGTGGTTTAATAAATCATTAAATGCTTGCAGACTACCAATTATTGGCCACATTTTACATACTTCACTCTGTCAGTGAGACCTAGTAATGTGCCCAGACTCCTGGAGCTAGTAGGAGATAAAACCAGAATTTAAACTCAAGCCCATCTGATGCAAAAGTACAGGTGATTTCCCACGTGTACTTAAGTATTTTTACATTTAAAAAGCTAAATATAAATATTTTTATATTTTCCAGAGGAAAATATCAATTTACTATGACACATGCTATTTTGTCACTTAGAATTTTTATTTTATATTTATTAAAAGAACTCTAATATACTTAGGCATTTAAAAATTATATATCATTCTTGGGCATGCATAAAAAGAAAAATATAAATTGGTTCAGATTTCTCTAAAACTTTCTCAGGATCTAAATCTTACTCTTCCTAGGAGGTTTGGTTTTGACTCCATCACTGAGGTCCAACCAAGTTCTTCTATGCAATATTGTCCCCTGTGCCACCAAGAGTTCTGGTGAAAAAGCATTTCCTAAAAGAAACTATACACGAACTAAAAGCTTGGGCTTTTAAGTTGGCTTTGCAGTGAGGTAGAGCTAGTCTACTTTTCCAACCCATTCTGCAAATTTTGATGCTGGTACATCCGATGATTACACAGGTAAAGCATGACAACTGGGATGACCACTCTTTGACCAACCATGGTTACTACAACTACCCATTAATTGTAAGCTGCATTCCAATTACAGTGATGTTCAAATGTTGTTTTTTATGTACATCGCAGAATTGATGAAATAATATTTCTCTTTGATTCATTAGCTGTATTTAGGGAGATGTTTTGGTACTTAC